ATCTTATATAAAATTATAAGTATATTGTACACAGACAAAATCAAGTACAACGTTTCTTTATAGTTTTCTAAAATAAATTAATATTAGATTTTTTTGTTCGTATTATATAGTACGTATATATTGTAATTATTGACTTGAATGAGATATATGATACGTGTCTCACGCGCAGGGCACGGCAATGTGACGCCGAAGTCGGCGGCGGGCAAGCTGGTGGCGGTGGCGTACGCGTGTGTGGGCATCCCCATCATCATGTTGTACCTGTCCACCATCGGCGAGGCGCTGGCGCGCACGTTCCGCGTGCTCTACTCCAAGCTGTGCCCGGCGCGCCTCGCCGCCGACTCGTTCCACGCGCGCGCCGACTGTCTCAGCCGCTACGCGCTGCCGCCCGACTGCAAACAGTTCGACTGTGACAAAAAGGACAAGTTTGAGAGACAGAAACGGACGCCATTTCAAGCCGCCTTGAATCTAGACAGTTTTAGTGGTGGTTATCATTGGACGTGTCGGGACCACACGCGAGTGCCAATTATACTTAGTTTATTACTGATCGTGTTGTACATAGCGCTAGGGACCTTCGTATTCCATACGACGGAGAGGTGGACCTTGATAGATGGGTGTTACTTTTCGTTTGCCAGTCTGGCGACGATCGGGTTCGGGGACTTGAAGCCCGGCCTGTATGCGAGTACGATATCTGCTAAAGCAGAGGACGTGGCGGTGGGAGTGTGTTGTATCTACATCCTGGTGGGCATCGTGGTGGTGGCCATGTGCTTCAACTTGATCCAGGAGGAGCTGGGCGCGGTGGTGCGCGGCTTCACCGCGCTGTGTACGGGCGCGGCCAAGTCGCGCGCCGTGCACAGCGCGGACGCCGTCTGCGAGGACAAGCTGGCCATGTCACTGGTATCTTGACACCGCGAGACGGCCGACTCGGGGCCGTCCGTAGCGTTTGCCGGGTGCGAGAAGCGGCAACAAGTGACGTTTAAAATAGACTCTTTGAATCCGACAAAGTTCAACAGTCTGCCCCGGCGCAAGTCATCGCAGTACGGCGAAGAGAGTTTCCAGCGCAACTCTGCGGCGCGTCGCTCGGCCGGCCACGCGGAGCGCTGCGTGGAGTACTTCGTGCCGCGCAGCCTCAGCGAGTTCAACCTGAGCGGCGCGGCCGGGGGCGCGGCTGAGCTGTGCGAGCTGGCGGCGCTGGGAGCGCGCGGCGGGGGCGCGGGCGGGGGCGCGGGCGGAGGCGCGGGCGGAGGCGCGAGTGGGTGCGTGAGGCCGCGCGACAAGATGGTCACGTTTGAGGACGACCGCGCCGCGCCGCCGGGCGAGCTGCCCGCCGATGACGTCTTCATGTGACAACGATGTGAACTAGACATAGACTTGTTGGTATGGACATGGTTTGTTATAATATAATAAAATATGAAGTTTTGCATTACCAATGCTGTTTTGTTCTGTGTACACTATGCAACATGATGTTGTCACGAAACATAGTTTCATAAGGCAATAATCGGAGGAGGCGAGCCAGTGCTTTTTTAAAATATGTCTGAAGATGTTAGAGCCACACAGCCGCGCACTGCACGTGATGTAGGTTCCTACAATAAGGAAGAAATTTAATTGACTGGCTGGAGGTCTGTTTACAACAGTGCAGGCCTGAATATTATTCTAAGTAGGTATACTTGTTATAATTGTAGTGCTCGAATCAGGCAATATGGAACTATTGTCTGATTCGAGCACTACAATTGTAACTTGCAGGGTTTAAAGTGTGGTGGGCCCTGTAATGTAACTATATCTTACTGGCTGGTCTTGTTTCAGCTCTGTGGACTCGAGCCTTCGTGCTCGGACCACAGCATTAAGCTGTGTATGTTTTGAACTCCTTATGATGATAGTAGTTTAAATGATAGACGAAGTTAAAAACGTTTATTGATTGATAAAAGATAGTAATGAAATAAATGAGTGCACGCGAGTTGAGTGATAATTGTGAACTACAGTATAAATCGCGCGTACCAAGTAACGTGCTTGCACTGTGCATGCTCCGGGGCCCGAGTATGTGAGAATGAGATGAATGAAATAATTTACAGATTGCTAATATAGTTAAACAATATTAGATTTAAAACTCAAAAAGACAATAAAGTATATCATTGAATTGAGTTCGGAGGGATGGAGATGACTTGTGTCGGTGGTGGTGATGGTGATGGCAGGGCGACTCGCAGCGTTGGTGGCGGCGGGACTACTACAGGCCACGCTCGGCTCGGCCTGCTCTGGTGTAGTCTCTGGTCGCTTCGATGTGGCCTCTGTTCGTTTTGGTCGCGTCGCGTCGGTCTGGTGCGCTCGCGAGTGTCTCCATGCGTACAAAATGGCGCGAACTATGGCGACCCACACAGTGAAGAATAGATGGTGACCTAATGGTGAATGTCATGGGGAGTCACTCGATCTGACAGTTCCTAATTGGATTTCATATTTTTGAGTGTCTCTTCGACTGTCTCTAAGTCCTGCCGTTGCTCGTTGAAATAATTTGCTTCATTTAATGGAATAATGAGGGGTATGTAACATATTAATTATGTGATTTGTTGGAGGAATCTGTGTTGATAACATCGATCTTAATTTTAAAGGAATTGGAATAAGACTTGTGGGCGTAAATTGTAAACATTTTGTTCTTGATGATCGGTCGTTATGTCATCATCGCATATGACTCGTACACTGTTCTGTCCACAGCGAAAGTATAGAAATTAATTAAATTAAATTCAGCCCAGTGGTCTCTTCTTCAGTGGCCATTCTTCAGTTTCAGTCTGACATTGTTTGTATATTTCATGTTTCAGACACAGGTTTGTGTCTGATGTAGTGATGTCATGACAAATATATTCGTCAGCGTCGTAAGGGACGCATCTTTGAGTGTGTGCATGTTGATAGCTAGGTGGGTTGCTATCAGTATTATGCTGACTAACACCCGTTAAATATTCCCCCCCCCCCCTCCGGCGACCCGGCTGTGCCCGGCCGGTGCATAATACAAGACGTCTCCATTCCTTTAAACCGGCACATCTTTTGATGCCGTTTCCAGGTCAGGCCGCGGCGCGCGCCGCTATTGTGCCGTTGGTAAAGGATGCTCCGAGATTGTGTTGCTGCCACAGTGTGCTGCGCTGGTTCACTGGCGGTACACTTGAACCAACTGTGGTAGGTTCTCAACTATCAAGAGGTTGTGCAACAAATCACAAATTTTCGCTCAAAATCGAAGCGTTTTGCTGTGTTGACGTTTAATTAGTTAATTAGTGTGAGACGGTGAAATATTTTCGTTGAAGTAATTAGTCAAAGTTTTAAAAATTATTGATTTGCGAATTAATAAAAATAATTTTATTCAGAAAATCGATAGACAACATATTTCATTCAATTTCATATGGGTTTGTCTAAGTACCTACCCGGTATAAGCGCAGTCGTCATACGTAGGGCCCGGCTGCCACATCTGCGAGCGTGCAATCACTGGCTCCGTTCGGTTAGAATAGTAATTGATACCCGGGCAGCGTCTGACAACAAACTACCGCATACCGGGACTATTCAAATACGCATTAACTGCCCCACTTTGTTGGCTTAACGAGCGCAATCCGAGCGAGCGGGTCATTGGCGTCGGTCCCGTAATCTATCCACTTCTAACGCCGCGCGCTGACTCCGCCCGGCGCTGTCTCCGGCTCCGACACTCCGACAGCCCCGAGTATAAGAAGTAGCCGAGTAGGAAACTAAACATTGCTTCCTGCAAGAGCTCCACAAACGGCGTTTACGAGGAGACCGGTCTAACGACCGGCCTCCGGTCGCTATCGGTCGATGGCTATGGATCGGCCACCATTTATTAAAACACGCTGAGCTCGCCGACACCCTGTGATCCCGATGCTTTAGCTAATTTCATTTGGAGCCGAAAGGGCGCGGCTGGCAATGTGCCTACGAGCCGGTTTGTAATATTGTACATTAAGTTACGCTGGGCCGCTACTAGAGGAAACAACGAGGGAATGGGTTTATAATAATTATGTAGAAAGTTTTTATAATAACTATCGTGAGACATACTAAATTAAGTAAAAACGCGGGTTACTCACGTGAATATACTGAGAAAAGAGTTCAGGCAATCTGTTATTTGAATTAGTATCAAGAGCCTATTAATGTTCAGTATATAGACGTGCACTGCGGACTGTGGAGTAAAAACTTTATATTAAAGCTATATGAAGAATTCGATATTCGATATCATGTAAATATGAAGAATTTGATAGAATTTGTTTTAAAAAACACAACCAATGTTCACCAGTTGTGTTACGTGTCCCATATATTATGGGGCGAGAGTATGACTGTATACCGTAGGTAGGTATCGTGTATCGTGAATCGTGAAGAACTCGACTGTAATAGTGACGCACCGTGGCGTACCGTCGCCGTCACCTTGTACCGGCAACACTAGAAGTATCACAAGTGCGTTGTATAATAATTAGTACCACAATAATAGTGATCACGTAACAGGACGATGACATTCCTGTTTTTCAATTGTGAACAAGTTGATGTAAAGAAAGGATTCATTGAACGTAGCCCTTTGAATATAAAATTATTATTTCAGCGGCCGTCAAACGTCCGCTGCTGACAGGAAGAATAATGACACTGGACGCGATATTAAAAATTCAATTAATATTCTTTAAATGAAAGTGGTTTAATATGCGATAGTGGTGAGTCACGCTCCCTCGCTCCCCTCGGTCGTGACGGAGCACGATGTGGAACAATACGTCTTTGTGCGTGCTGTGTGGAGGTTACAGCAGTTCCCCTGGATAATGAGACGCGGCGCGTTGTGCTCCGGCCACACACGCGCTACACTAAAGTTCATCATAATAAGTAGGTTTAGAAAGAACTTTACATTACAGCCGGTGTTGTATGTATGTACGTAAGGCCACAAATACAGAGTCTGTATATCAAAATTCATGATAGTAGTCTGTAATCGAACTGTAAATGATGTAGTTGGAGACGATACTAATTGTTGCATTGCAAGTGGTCACGAGTCACGTAGCCACATGTTTGGGAAGCGAGGCGTAAGTGCATGACTTCCAAGTCCCAGGGACGGAGCGCGGTCGAAGCAGAGTGCGGAGTATGGGGCTGCGGGGGAGGGGAGGCAGGGTACAGCTGAACACAATCTAATTCCGTCGTCTCGCCGAGGCTTTTAGCGTGTCCATAATAACGCATTTATGTTTTTAATCTCAGCAAAGGGTCACAATGGAACCTTAAAGCCTTTTGTCTTTATAAACTCGTTTCTCCTGCAATGACAGTTACTTAAATAAATTGATAGCGTCTAACCGCTATACTCCAATATACAATATGTGTGTATTCAAGTATACCTACATGTTGGCCGATGATGTCCAAGAACACATCGCTGTAGCTAAAACTTTATTGACTTGTACGAGCAGATTGAGAGAAAGCTTGAAGTGGTAACAAAGTTGACTTGATTGGACGCTATCAATATACGAGATCGTTACATTAAGGAAAATGAATTGTTTATTAAGTGCGATATAGTTTGAATGTATGAAACCACGAGTGATTATCGTACATCGAGAGCGATGTAATTACTTTAATACTAATTACCCACGCGGCCCTAGTTGCCGCGACACTCGTTTACACTCCACTCGGGGCACACGGCCGACACGGCGACACGGCGCGCGACCCTGTACCTACTACGAGCACATTGGATAAATACGTCGCATGAATATTATTGAATATCGCGATGAAGAATACTTTGATATAATTGTTATGCTTGATGATATAACTCGGTCGACGGTGCTAGTGGAGCCAGTCCGGTACGGTACAGTGAATGATTAGGTATTAGATTAGTCGGCGGCGGCGGCGGTGCGCGGTGTTGACATCATTTAAATAAGTAAATGGGCTGGCAGACAGAATACACACTGCGCGGCGTGTGCCGTGCATGCACTGCGCGCGCTGCCACGAGCGTGGGTACCATCTTGTACTACGAGCTCATTATGGAACGTTACTTGAGTTGACTATCCACACAAGTGTATGATAGAGTTGCGCTTGTAACCTCACAGTGGACAAAGGCTTCACTTCTATCCCTTGTGTTGTTTATCTGTAGATTAGTTTCAGATTTCACTTCTTGTAGCTGACTGGCGCACACTCTGCCCGTTGTTGAAGTGTACCATGGATCTGTACTTGTATAAGTAAATGTTGATGCTATCCAACTAG